GGAGAAAGTTGGAGAATGGGTTTGAGAAACATATCAGCATAGTCGCATGAGGGACCAGGCTTGATGGGCTGAATAGCCTAAATCTCCCCCAATATCTTAAGGTTTTATTTGTGGACAGAGAATGAGTTAATATTTCAAATCTAATACAATGGTTCAGTCATTTTGGGGGCTCAAAATTTTAATTTTGTTTCTGTCTCCATAGATGCTATCAGAACTGCTGAGTTGCTCTAGTATTTTCTCTTTTTATACCAGATTATGGCTGTTTTTATTTGACCGAATCTGGTGGTTGGCTTGCTGCAGAAGGTGAGAAGGAACAGAGCTTTGCCAGTGGTTAGATCAGTTGTCCCTGATGTGTCCTGGTATTGTGGAACACAGCATGGACCCTAAATAAATCAATCTACTCTGTTACCAGCTTAAGTCAAATTTATTAAATGTAAAAAGTTAACTAACAAATCAGTAGTCATTTCCATGCAGTAATTACCTTAACAGAAACCACAATGGTAATAGGTTGCCATATTTGTTACTTGATGTTTCTTTGTTAACTTGCGAACGGAGCAAAGTATTAATGATAGGCCAATGTTCTGGATGGGTCTGTCCACTTAAAGTCCCTCTGCTTGTAAATTTGGCCCAATGGTTGGTCCAAGAAATTTAAGACATGAGCACAGGTGAAGGATCACTTTTTAAAACTACAATTTGAAGTAGAAGTGATTTTCCCAAAAAGTGGGTGAAGTAATGGGTGAATGGATACAGTAAAGTATGACACGCTGTTTGTAATAGGAGTGAGATCTAAACATCATGGCCCCTCTGGCCACTCGCTTCACTGCATTGTTAATTCTTATAAGGGTATTCTGGTGTCTTTTTGTTGTCTTACACTTACCCACCGCCTAAATACAGTTTGGTTAATCTTGTTTTCTTGTTAAATTTTCAGTTTTGCTCATGTGGTTCTTGGTCTTGAGTTTTTTTAAATAAATCATTGTTTGGCTTGGTTACCCTGTTCAATTTAACACATTGCAAGCAAATTAAAATATGTCTCAGCATTTATAATTCCATTTCTGAACTGATGTTAACTAACATCTAGTTAAAAAATGTAAGCTTTCCCGGCCATTCCTGCTTGTTTTTCTTTTAACTCTGCAGTCGCCCTTGCTTGACCAAAGAATTGTATGGTGGGAATCAAACTCCAGATTATCAAAAACTGTACACATTGACTTTTTGCTGGCATACAGTTCCACGGGTGGGAAAAGCTCCAGTTTTTGATCAAATGGCCGTTCTCCTTGACTGTTTATTATTGAAATTGGAGGAGTCCAGATCAAATGCATCTTATTGTCATCTTGATTTTGCACAACAACTTGTGGAAAGTATGGCTGAATAGGGATTAAGAGTGGAAGTCTCTCTCTTTTCTACCACCTCAGGCTCCCTTATCCACTGCTACTACATTCAAATATACCATACTTAACAGCTGTGATCAGCTGCCCAACGAAGATCAGGGATAAAATTTTGTTCTTCTCCAAGATTAATTTGCATTCAAGCAAGATGGTAAAAAAGATCCGTGATGAAACTAATTTTAGTGCATAAAACCATTGTTCATAGAATCCCTACAGTGTGGAAACATGCTCTTCGGCACCACAAGTCCACACTGACCCTCACAGCACCCACCCAGACCCATCCCCCTATAACCCACCTAATCTACACATCCCTGAACACTACGGGCAATTTAGCATGGCCAATCCACTGAGTCTGCACATCTTTGGACTATGAGAGGAAACCGGAGCACCCAGAGGAAACCCACGCAGACACTGGGAGAATGTGCAAAATGGGGGTGGAATTGAACCTGGGTCCCTGGCGCTGTGAGGCAGCAGTGCTAACCACTAAGCCACGGTGCCATCCCACTCAGACTATGTTGTCAAACATAGACAAAGGGTTGTAATGAAATATATATTTGAAAAGAACATTTTGTTTTTATAAGTTTGTTTGTGAACACCTTTTTTTCTTTGTGTATTGTGTAAAACTAAACTCAAAATTCTCTTGGATAACTACTAGATAAGAAAAAGTTTCCTGCAGCATCAAGTCACACACAAACTCAGAAACTAGGTATGTTTCACAGTCTGTGCTGTAACGGTTCTCCTCAGCCAGACAGCAGCTAGGAAGCTATGTAGATCTCGGCATTGGCCTTCCAGTGAAAGGAACTGGCCCCAACTAAGTGTTGAGTGACACATTAGATTGATACAGATTTTTGCCAAAACTCAATGAGAAAAGGCAACATCGTTGTACGGCAACGTCATTGTACAGCAACAAGCTGCAAAGCGTAAAACCCCTTGCATTACGTGTCTTGGGCACTGTTTCATGCAATGTATCTGTACTGTAAGTGGAGCACAGCACCCTTTCATGCTTCATTCTGTATTCAACCTAATTGATCTGCACTGCTTTTTCCCTATTTTATTCACTCTTGGGACATGAGCCAGCATTTATTGCCCATCCCTAGGTACCCTTGAGAATGTTGTCGTGAGCTGCCTTCCCGAACCGCTGCAGTCCATGTGCTGTAGGTTCAATGCCGTTAGGGAGGGAATTCCAAGATTTTGACCCAGTGACAGTGAAGGAATGACAATATTTTTCCAAGTCAAATTGGTGAGTGGCTTGGAAGGGAATTTGCAGTTGGGGATGTTACCATGAACCTGCTGCCCTTGTCCTTCCAAGTGGTAGTGGTTGTGGGTTTGGAAGGTGCTATCTAAGATCTTTGGTGAATTTCTGCAGTGCATCTTGTGGGTGGTACTCACTGCTGCGACTGAACATCTGTTTGTGGAGAGAATGGATTTTTGAAGACATGCCAGTCAAGCAGAGATAGTAGGAACTGCCGATGCTGGAGCCTGAGATAACAAGGTGCAGAGCTGGATGAACACAGCAGGCCAGGCAGCATCAGAGGAGCAGGAAAGCTGATGTTTCGGGTCTAGACCCTTCTTCAGAAATGGGGGAAGGGAAGGGGATTCTGAAATAAATAGAGAGGGGGAGGCGATGATGGAAGGTGGATAGAGGAGCAGATAGGTGGAGAGAAGACGGACAGGTCAAGGAGGCGGGGATGGAGCCAGTAAAGGTGAGTGTAGGTAGGGAGTTGGGATGGGGGTTGGTCAGTTGGGAGGGAGGGGCGGGCGGGTGGGAGGGAAGACAGACAATTCAGGTAGGCGGGGATGAGGCTAGTAGGTAGGAAGTGGGGGTGGGGGTTGGTCAGTGAGGTGGGAGGAGCGGATAGGTGGGAGAAAAGACTGACAGGTCAAGGAGGCGGGGTCGAGCTGGGCTAGTCTTGGGATGAGGTTGAGGTTGGGGAGGTCTTAAAGCTTGTGAAGTCCACATTGAGACCATTGGTCTGCAGGGTTCCCAAGCGGAATATGAGGTGCTGTTCCTCCAGCCTTCGGGTGGCATCGTTGTGGCACTGGAGGAGGCCTAGGATGGACATGTCGTCCAATGAGTGGGAGGGGGTGTTGAAGTGGTTCGCGACTGGGAGGTATAGTCGTTTGTCAGAAACCAAGCCTCCGCTTGGTTTCCCTGATGTAGAGGAGGCCACATCGGGAACAGAGGATATAGTATACTGCATTAGCAGATGTGCAGGTGAACATCTGTTTAATGTGGAAGGTTTTTTTTGGAGCCTGGGATGGAGGTGAAGGGGGAGGTGTAGGGGCAGGTGTAGCATTTCCTGCAGTTACAGGGAAAAGTGCCGGAGGTGGTGGGCTAGTGGCTAGTGGGGAGTGTGGAGCAGATGAAAGAGTCACAGAGAGCGGTCCCTCCGGAAGGCAGATAATAAGGGTGGGGAGGGAAAAATGTCCTTGTAGTAGGGTCAGATTGCTGATTGCAGATTGTAGATGGTAGATGGCAGAAGTGGCAGAGGATGATGCGTTGAATCCAGAGGTTGGTGGGGTGATACATGAGGACGAGGGGAATTCTGTCTTGTTGTTAGCCGGCTGTTTTGTCCTGGGTGATGTCAAGCTTTTTGAGTGTTGTTGAAGTTGCATGCATCCAGGCAAATGCGGATTATTCCATCACATTCCTGACTTGGGCCTTGTAGTTGGTGGAGAGGATTTGGGAAGTCGGAAGGTAAGTTACTCGCTGCAGTATTCATAGCCACTGTATTTATGTGGTTAGTCAAATTCAGTTTCTGATCAGTGGTAACCCCAGTAAGTTGATGGCAGGGTTTCAGTCATCGTAACATCATTGAATATGTCCTGTGGCAATGGTTCGATTGTCTCTTACTGGCGATGGTCATTTGAATGGCATAAGTGTTACTTGTCGTTTGTCAGCCCAAGCCTGGATATTGTCCAGGTCTTGCTGCATTTGGACATGGACTGTTTTAATATCTGAGGAGTCACAAATGTTGCCGACCACTGTGCAATCAACAGCGGATATCTCCACTTCTGACCTTTTATAATGGAGGGAAGGTCATTGATGAAGCAGCTGAAGATGACTGGGCCTAGGACACTAACCTGAGAAACTTCTGCTGAGATGACTGATCTCCAACAGCACAGCTATCTTCCTGTATGCCAGGTGTAACTCCAAATAGCAGAAATTGATTCCCATTGATTTCAGTTTTGCTAAGGCTCATTGATGCCATACGTGGCTGAATGTGGCCTTGATGTCAGGCAGTCATTTTCTCTTCACTTGAACTGCAGCAGTTTGCCTGCAATGCGCCTACTGCAAATTTTATGCATGAAGTAAATTTTTGTAAAGATAAATTGGATTAAAGAGAAAAAGGTAGCCAGAATTCTCACTCCTGATTGTTTCCACTGACTCCAAGAGATTGTGAGTCATGCTGTGAGGTTCTCTTGGTTTAACAATCTAACAATCAGCACTACCAAGCCTCAGAGATGAAGTGACTACTTAGAAAAAAGTTTTAGAGGGTTGCCATTGGCTGCACATGTATAGGAAGTGTTGATGCTTTCAGTAAAGGGAAGAAAATTAGAGAAAAGGAAACAGTTTTTATAAAAAATTTTGATCCAATAATCTGTTGAAACTTTCAGAATGTTGGGACCAGGATCCTCACATCCGTCCAAATTTTGCTACCATTTTGGAGCAACTCACTGCTATCGAGGCCACAGTCATAACAGATTTACCCCAGGAATCATTTCACTCCATGCAAGATGATTGGAAAATGGAAATACAGCAAATGTTTAATGAGCTGAGGACAAAGGAAAAAGTGAGTTTTCTTTTAAGCTTCTTTGTGTTTTGCACTTTGACAAGACTTCAGACATGTATAGTTCTCGTCATAAGGCACACCTGGAACAGAGACTGGATTGATGGTTCACAGCAGTGGCTGAGAGAGCACTGTAACGTCAGAGATGCTGCTCTCCAGATAAGAGTCTGAGACTCTTTCTGTCTATTCAGTTGAGGTGGGTGTCAAAAGATGGCCCTATTTAATGAAGAGCAATAAATTTTCCTGGAAGTCCAATGTTTGTTCTGCAATTCACTCCAACCCAAAAAAAAAGCTGTTCAGTCACCTCTTGTATACATGTGAAGCTTATTCTTAAAATTCATAGAAATACTGGTGCACTTTATGGATCAGAACATATTTAAATGAGGCCTTTTTTTACTGCCCATCTGTAGCATCACCATTCAATCCTGCTGACATCTGAAATTATTGTCATTCTCATACGCTTCATGAAGTTTACTCCAGAATCTCTTGAGTAACTCTACAGTTCAGATCCAACCTGAATGAGATTGGAGTCTCACTGATTCTAAGTTCTCACTGAGAATTTGGGAAATCCAATGTCAGTGATATGATTAAAGTGCACTTGTAATTGGGTGAAGTTTCCATTCATTTCTCGAGTGATATAATACTTCCCAGTAGATTTAGGATCATAAGTCTGTTAGACCATAAAAAATAAGAATAGCAGGCTGCTCAGCCCCTGCCCCACCATCCAATAGGATCAATTAATGAGGATTAATTTGGAAGTAATATGTTAGCATAGTTTCTCATTTATTAATATTGTAAATAAGTACAGTGACACAAGTATTGGAAATATTTCAGACCCTTGGTCCTGCCTACCTGTGCCCTGGAAACGTCTCAAATTCAAAATCTATATTAATCCCTATATGGTCTCAGTACTATCTCTGAAATGTCCTTCAATGGTCTAGATACCCAAACCTGAAATCTTGCTCCTCAGACTGTGACCTTTTATCACATGTCACAACCTCTTTCACATACATGCACTCACGTGAACATGCAGACATAACTTTAACCCATGTTGATGGTGCATTTAGCTGTCTAAATCCCACCCACTCTATAATGAACTTCCAAAAACCTCCCTACTGCTTTACCACCCACTCCTCTCGATCAAATCTCTCCATAAAACCTACCTGTAACTAAACGTATGATCACTCTTCCAAATATCTCCTTTGGTTTGGTACCTGTTTATTATGTGAAGTCCCTTGGATTTTGACATTCTCCTAACTAACATAAATTTAATGGATCCAGTTATGTCTTTTGAGATGGTGTACATAGTGCAAATAAAAAATACAAAGACTACTGAAAAATTTTGAATGAGGTAGAAGATTTTAATCATCATTCTCGCTAATCATGTGCTTTATTGTGATCTGGTTCCAAACAATCCCAGACTTGGTGATTAGCTGTAACTTTGTTCTCTTGTGGTTCCTAGGAGTTGCGATCACGAGAGGAGGAGCTGACAAGGGCAGAGCTCCAGCAGAAGTCCCACGAAGAGCTGCTGAAGCGACGGGAACAACAGCTGGCAGAGCGGGAAATTGATGTGTTAGAGCGTGAGCTGAACATTCTCATCTTCCAGCTGAATCAAGAAAAACCAAAAGTGAAGAAAAGAAAAGGCAAGTTCAGGAAAAACCGGCTAAAGCTAAAAGATGGAAACCGAATCAGTTTGCCTTCAGGTATGGAGTTACAAACTATGATGTCTGGATCTGCACACAGAGATTACTCATGCCAAGCTAAATTGAAACTTCAGGCTGATGCAAGTGTGTACTGGGAAATGTATTTAAATTAAAATCCATGTCGCAGTTTTTGGCCGATGCAGAGTTGAATCTTCCTACGTATGGGATCAATCACTGGACTGTTCAATCCTGATCACTGTTCAGTGAACCCTGCCGGATGTTACACTTGTTTGGATGTTGGGTGAGAACAGAATGAATTTGTCAGCAGTCAAATAGCCTGCCATCACTCAAATAGCCTGCCATCACTCATTCCTCCTCTCTATCTCTCTTGTCACCTTCTGCATGAGTAATGTCGTGCTCCATTGAAAACTGGACTAGGTCCTTTCCAGTCCTTTAGCCCTTTGTTTTTGGTCTTCTAACTATCTGTCCTTGTAGCAACATTCATTTTCTTCATCTTAGGTAGGTATCTTGCACAAGAAAAGTAACTTAAGGGATGTAAATCCCAATCAGTCCATGCTAACGTTAATGCTTCACGTGCACCTTGCTCTATTTTTCCTTATCCATATCTACTATTGTATCTAATTATTACATCTTTTTGTTATATGCTTAAACAGGTTCCTCTTAAAAGCATCTTTAGTAATTTTAGCACTTCCTGTGCTAGAATATTCCACATTGTCACCATTCTTTGGAAAAAGACATTTCTTTTGAGCACCCTATTGGATTCGTATCTTATTGATTACTCTGGATATGATATCTTCTCCACAAAGGAAGTTCTTCTGTAACCACTCTACTAAAGCCCTTCGTAATTTTAAAGATTTCTATTAGATCACCCATCAGTTTCCTTTTTACAGGAGAAAGGGGATTCAGCTTGTCAATTCTTTTTTGCAGGTAAATTTTGCAACATTTAGCCCAAATCTGAACACCTGTGTGAATATAACTACCAAATTCTCAGTAAAATTTCCCAATTCTTTACATGGAAAGAGCGCTGCTGGCACCCTACAACAGTCCAACCATAACTTAGATGCCATATTTAGAATTCTTTCTCTCAGGCCATTCTTCTAGCCTGTTGGTATCTCAGTCTTGGCTTCTGTTTACCTCTATTGCCAAACTCACTGTAACTCAAATGCAAACTGTATCCTAAATACAACATAGTTTACTCTCTTGTGCATTTTTTAATCTTCTTTAAAGCTGCATTATGACAATATTTAACACTTAAAGATATGCCAATTTAAAAACTTAATACAATTTGATAACTACTATCTTTATTAGCTCCGGAAATATGTCAATGACATGAAGTCTTAGCATCAAGCTTCGATTAAAGGTTCAGCATAAATTCTGTGCTTTTCAGTTCTGTTCCTTTAAAAATTAAGCTTAATAGCTTTCATAACTAATTAACCACATCACTTCATTTCCTTATTCATATACATGATATGTTGTTTCTCTGAAGAATTTCAGAAAACTAGTCAAGCATGACCTGTATTGATTGATCCTGGTGTTAAATTGGTGCTCTAAGTCCTTAGTATTTCAACAATGTAGTATTGCATATCAGACTTAACTGTAATGGATCATCTTCAGAGTTTTGATTTTTTTTTTTCACATTGATAGATTTTCAGCACAAGATCACTGTTCAAGCTTCTCCAACTCTCGACAAAAGGAAAAGTTTGAATGGCAGCAGTTATAGTCCACCGAGCAGCCCTACCATTATCCCACGACTAAGAGCTATACAGCGTAAGTGCAGTGCTATTTCCATCAATCTTGTATGTTATAATGGTTTTGTACTGCTTGCTGATTAAGACAGGTGACGGAGCAAAGATTGAAACTAATTCCTCATTTGTTTATCGCTGTGTGAAATCTTTCTTTATATATGCATCAGGATTTTTAGTTTTGCTCATGGCATGAGAGTATTGCTGGCACAGCCAGCATTTATTGCCCATTTTTAATTTTTTATTTTGAAAAGCTGGCAGTCCACATTTTGCAGGGAATGCACAGTGCCTAAATGATCTCGGGATGTTTGTATAGCTACAGTATGATTTTTGTCCTCAGTTTCACATTTTCCACCAAAATCGTAAGTTTTATTTCTCAAGATGGTCATGACTGTCCAACAAGATCTAGGAAAAACGCCACATACTTCCTAAAGCAGTGTGGTTAACTAATTTATAGCATTAGTACCATTTTGATGATGAAGTCTGATTTTATTTTTGTCAGTTTAATTCTATTGCCTGTTTTTGCCTGCTGCACTTTGACCATAAATCCCACTTCGACTGTAAAAGTTCTGGCTAGTAACTCCTATTTGGCATCCTTTTGATGTCAGCTTCTGGCTTTGGCATCTACATGTTTTAAACTTTCACACAACTGATACTTTGCGTAGACCATTTATATATTCACCTTGGATTCAGCTGTATGAAGCCTCACTGAGAAGAGTTCATACTGGAATAGTATTTGAATCTACATTCCAAATATGTTTGCAATATAATCCTTTTATTGTGCTGTAGTAAGTATTTGACAACTGCAGTGTTCCAAGCAGTAACGTTCCAAAGAAATAAACTAATTATGATGAAAGGCTGAAGATTTTTATGGATCTCTAGTCATGCACACCACCCTGGCTGAGTTAATTCCTGATAACAGTTTTTGTGAATAAAATCCCTGAAATCTTGGCAGTTCCTACAAAGTACCCACTTAGTTGCCATCTAGGCACGTAACTAATAATCCCGGCCCTGTTGCCCCTGCTTTGTATCGCTGTCTTGACCCCATTGAGAAAGATAAATCAACACAAAAGGGCTATGTATGGACTGCACTTTCAGCAAACATTAAATTCTGTCCTGGTACATTGAACCTCAAGCAATCTAGGAATGGTCAACTTGAATAATTTCCTACACTAAAAATCTTAAAGCCATTTGAGATTAATGTTTGTGCTTTTTGTTTAAATTTGTGAGATTGTACCAGCTCTTAATCCTACGTATTTATGTACACACAGATTGGGTATTTTATAATCTGGTGATCTAATTCATGGAAAGATATCCCATTAAAAATGTGCCCAGTTTGTTTTCTGATGCAAAGAGGCCTTTAACCGAACCTGTTCCAGGGAATAGTCATGCTAGTTGTGATAAGGAACTGAATTTAGATACAGTAATGTAGGCAAGATACAGTGAAGGTTAGTATTCTCAGCAGCTGATTTGGTGAGGGAGACGGCATCTTGATGCAAGGTCCAAGCATCCTTCAGCGTTAGACCCACGTTTGATCAAATCTTTATTTCTGGTGCTAGCCTAACACCAGGAACCAAGTGGACTGACACACAAGAATTGAGTTGTCAGCAGTCTTTAAAGCTGATGGCTGATTGGGAAATGGCAGCATCTGAAATAGTCTTAGTAGATGAGGGCACTTAAACTTACTTCTGTATTGATTTAGGATGATTTCAGTCTACAGCAGCAAATAAATCTCTGCCCTGACCTAGGACATCAGACAAATATCCAAAGGCATTAATGGCACTTGAGAGGGCTAAAAGGGGCCATGAAATGACCTTGGCAAACAGGATGAAGGAGAATCCCAAGGCTTTTCATGCATATATAAACAGCAAGAAGCTAGGGACAGAGTTTATCCATTTAAGGATAAAGGAGGAAGTTTGTACATGGAGCCAGAGTGTGTGGGTGAGGTCCTTAATGAATATTTTGCATCAGTGTTCACAAAGGAGAACAACATGGTGGATAGTGAGTCTGAGAGGGATGTGTTCTAGGGCATGTTGATATAAAAAAAAGGTGGTGTTGGTGTTTTGAAAAGCATCAAGGTAGACAAACCCTCAGCACCTAATGGGACCTGTCCCAGAATACTGAGGGACGAAATCGCCGTGTCCTTGTACAAAATATTTGTATCCTCTTTAGTCACAAGAGGTACCTGGGAACTGGAGAATAGCCAACCTTGTTCCTTTATTTAAGAAGGGCAACAGGGATAATCCATGAAATCCCAGGCTGGTGAGCCTTAATTAGTGGTAGTTATTGGAGAAGATTCTTAGGATAGGATTTATTCACATTCCTAAAAATATAGACTTATTAGCAATAAGTAGTTTGGCTTTGTGCGGGGGAGGTCTTGTCTCACAATCTTTATTGAGTTTTTTGAGGAAGTGACAAAGATGATTGAGGGCAGAGTGATGGATGTTGTCTATGTGGACTTCATCAAGGCCTTTGACAAGTTCTTTCATGATAGACTGATACAGTAGTTACCTGGGATCCAGGATGAACTGCTAAAATGGATACAGAGATAACGAGGTGTAGAGCTGGATGAACACAGCAGGCCAAGCGGCATCAGAGGAGCAGGAAAG